CAAAACAAAAAGGATTATAGAGATCAATCATTTGAACTAAGACACAAGAATGAGCCTTATTTGTGAGAGGTGGAGAATGTAGTAGATAATGGTGTTTTTTAGCTTGCCCAAATCTACACAATGGGCAGTTTGTGCTCTGTCTACTGTGGGAGAGTCGAACCACAGATTTTAGCACTGTAAATTTATTGCTGAAACAGTGGAGGATGCAGTAGTGTGAGTTGTCGTACGATTTACCCTTTAACTTAGTTGGTGAAAGACTGTCTGACTTATGAGAGTCACTCCTGCAAAAAATTGGATTAGGATTAAAATAATTTAATCTTTATAATGGACGTAGCGTGTATATATGTATCTACCTATGTATGTAACCGAAATTATACAATGTGGCGCCATCTATTGCTTGGCACCAGAAACACGAATCCATAAAAAACATCACACTTTGAGTATCAATATTTAGACACTTAGAAAAATAACTACGGTACGTGCAACAACCATTTCTTTACCACAGAACACAATTTTCGATAAAAGTACAAACCTCGCAACAAGTACACGACTTTCACAAGGGACGTACGTGAGGGTTTGATTATATCTTTATTCATGTACTTCGTAAATACTAAAAAAATTAAGTTCTTAAAAAAATATTTTTTCAACAAAGGGTACCACTTTTAATATATATATATACATATATAGTTTATATCGGTACAGTACTTCCCAGAAAAATCCTTTTTTATAAAATGTTTACTTTTTCTAAATTTTCGTTTTCAATGAGGTATGAAAACTACCATTAGTAAAAGTAGCACAAACAGCTAATATATATATACACAACTTTAATAACTTGACTGTTGATAGTTAATCTTATAAAACCAAAACCGACAATGATTTTATTGCTGTTAATTGTATTTTCGTCCATAATCCCAATAATATCGTATGAAGTTTGGCCAAATTAGGTTACTATTAGTCGTGAGTAAGTATTATTACTTGCAAAGAAAATAATATTTTTAACACAATACAAAAATATCTTTCACAATCACAAAAAAAATCCACGTGATGAATACATTTTTTAATAACTTGCACATTGACAAATTTATCATAAGTTTTAACTGTAATACTGTCAGCTACAGTCTCCATTGACTATTTATTGTATCAGTCATTAAAATATGTAGTATATAACTTCGATATATGTAACCTAGAGCTGGTAAAGTAATAATTTAAAATTTGGCTGGCTCTGAGAGCAACTTTTTCAATATTATGTGAAAAAAATTCATATTTGCATTTTTTACAGTAAAAAAGAAAGTATTTCTTTACTCATAAAAGTAAAAATGCATAATTACTACTTGCTGGTAGAAACCTGCCATCCAAGACTGATGCCTTTGTTTTCTTTTATTGGTTGTAATTGAGACAAAAAGACCATTCATCTTTTAAAATTGAAACTGATTAATCAAATGTTGTGAAAACCTTGGTGATCCTGGAAATCAAACGGTGTCATATTCTTTAGTAGCCTGTTTATTCCTGTTTTTTGAAGTAATCTTGTGCTGCTGGTAACATGTGACAAAAGATATTGAAACTGTGACTACATATTGTTTTATGATAAAGGTACTAAGGCCATCTACTGCCCTAACAAATTTTAATCCCTTACCATAGGGTGACCAGGCAGCACCCACCCCCAACTGTTGGGCTACTCTTTACTAATGGACAGTGGGATTGATATCCACACAGCTGAAAGTGTGAGTATGTTTAGTGTCGAGTTTCAATCCCACCACCCACATACTATGAGCCAAGAACCCTAACCTCCAGAAACCACATATTGCTAACTGTACTACCAAATTTCCCATGGATATTTAAATAGACTAAATGATGCTGTTGGTGTTTAGCAAATGGTGACTGTAATGGAGAAACTCAAATGTGGTTATGCCTAACAAACACCGAATGACACCAGGGGCTATTTGATACATGTCATGGTAGCAAAAATTTTCAAATAATGTAATTGATACTATCACAAAAATAGCAAATACCATTGTTAACTGTGACTGTAAATTGCTGTTAAAGTTTAACATATGAAGTGGTTAAATGCTGCAGATATGTTTGTCAGATGCAAAAAATAACTGAAAAACACTCTAGATTAGTGAATGAATATTTATGTTTATATCTATCACATACCAAACCAGTCATCACTACATATTACTGGCACTGAAACAGTGATGTTAATTTTGATTTCCTCCAAATCCCTTAATTTTGTTGATAAAACTGAATTCAGGAGTAAGCCTAGAAGAAAATAAAACATTCCAAAACTCCGTGGCGATTATGAATAACTTTAATTCAAGAATTACAGCAAGACTGGCATACAGCATAAAACAATAAAATAAACACCATAATTGAAAAAGTCATTTGATAATGATAAGGTGAATTAATAACCATTAGCATAACCAGGGTTTAACCTCGGGCTTGAATAAACACAACCTTATTTGGCTAATCATAAATACAGAGATTGAAGACCACATACTTTTAAGGAGTATTGCTGTGAATGAAATATTTCTAATTTCTTTAAAAGAATTTAGGGGGACATTCCTGCAGCAACTGGAAATATTGTTGTTGTGTAATTTTGACTTTCACAACAAATCATTAAAGATAACCACTATTTTGATAGTTCTGGAATCATTAGATTTATAATGTTGCTTAGATAAAATGATTTATGTTACGACCGTTTCATAATTTTGATTAATCATGCCCCTGTTTGGATAATCTCAGTAACTTTGCTACTACTTAACTAATACTAGTCATATTATCACTGTCTGAACATTCCGTTTCATGTTAAGCACTCAGAGACTGAAATGTTGGATGTTACATAACATAAACTCAATGCGTGTAGAGAAATATTAACGAGTGTGGAAAGGAGGACAATCAGCACTTAAATTATGATTTTGTTTGTATGTCTACAAACTAAAACTGAAGAATCACAATCAGATTTTAATATAAATTATGATTTTGTTTGTATGTCCACAAACTAAAACTGAGAACCACAATCAGAGTTTAATATAAATCATGATTTTGTTTGTATGTCCACAAACTAAAACTGAGAACCACAATCTGAGTTTAATGTAAATTATGATTTTGTTTGTATGTCTACAAACTAAAACTGAAGAACCACAATCAGAGTTTAATATAAATTATGATTTTGTTTGTATGTCCACAAACTAAAACTGAAGAATCACAATCAGAGTTTAATATAAATCATGATTTTGTTTGTATGTCCACAAACTAAAACTGAGAACCACAATCTGAGTTTAATGTAAATTATGATTTTGTTTGTATGTCTACAAACTAAAACT